AGCTCTGGGGACGAGCATCGCGAGCACGAGGTGCATGGACGGCCAGTAACCGGGAGCTCTGGGGACGAGCATCGCGAGCACGAGGTGCATGGACGCCCAACAGCCGGGAGCTCCAAGGACGAGCATCGCGAGCACGAGGTGCATGGACGCCCAATAACCAGGTGAGGCCACAGGAAGGCACCCACTGACACCGCAGGACACGCCGGAGAAACCCAGCAGCTCCTCCCACAGATCACGCGGGGCTGGCGTGTCCTCCCATCTAGCATTATCACCACCTACTGGCATCCTTCAGCGTTCCACCATGTGGACAAGCAAGCCCCTGCCATTTGCAGACAGGACACCTTTTCTTGTTACTGCTGTATTTCTTTGGTTGTGTTCAATGGCAGTCTGCAAGGTAATTTAAGTACATGTGCTGAGATTACCAGCTAAACAGGACTCGAGGGCACATGTATTGCTATTTCCTTTGACAGCGGTTCTCAAGTGTGGCATGCTTGTGACTGTCAGGGGAAGATCTACCTCCAGAAGAGAGAAGGCAGGCACAGATAAAAGTGGGGTGAAGAGTGAGCTTCAGGAGTGAAGACACAGGCTTGGATAAAGGTTACAAGAAGACAAGTGGAGGTTAGCGGCTAAAAGCAAACAGGAAGCTGATCAGAAGTCACAAAGACACACATGTCCAGGAGAAAGCAGGACACTTGAGCCGGGCAGTGCCTCTAGGCTAAAAGGCCTGTGTGTGTGCTGTCCTCCCAGGTCTCCCCCACTTCCCCCCCCCCCCTGCATTTGCAGGTATAGCCTGCCCGGGTCCAGACACCGTCTAGACACACACATGGCACACACGTGGAACAAGTGCAGCAAAGAATACTTCAGAGAAGACATTCTGGAAGAAAGTTTTAGCTATTTCTATAATTACTTATGCCTAGAAGAAAAGGCCACTAAGATGCCAGGTTTTGAAAACAACAGTTACAGAGGTCCATTTACTCCTGTGCTCACATGACAGTCCATTCAGCTTCACCTGCACACGTTCCATGGCGTGAAGAAAGGCAGCATTTTTAGAGCAAACAACAAAGCTCCCTTCAGGACACTCAAACAGCACCCTCCTTGGAGGAAGCTTTCTCATGCTTCCCAGATATCACACCGAAAGCTGCAAACCATCATGGACATGCCAGAGTTGAAGAAAAAGAATCATCTGGTTTTGCACAACTCAACAGCAACCTTTCACACATTGCATGGTGTGTCACTGATGAGCCGAGATGGGAAGAAAAATCCTTAACACCCACGCAGTTTCTCAATTACACCAGGATAATTCTACCAAGGGGGAAGAAACAAAGGTTGATGGTATCAATAGGAGAATCTAGAATCTGAGGGAAAGAGACAGCAGGATTTTCTCTCTGAATGAAAACAGAGAGTTTTCATTCTATAAGAATGAAACTAGGTAAATTGTTTCAATCCACAGAACAAATAAGTCAAAATAATTCTTGACTGTATGTCAAGGCCTTGAACCTTACACCAAACGTAGACTAGTCACAAACAATTGCAGTAGTTAAAAGAAAATGTACAATAACTTTCTTGATGGGTAACTGTGGATGACTCTAGACTCTAGACTTTACCAATGGATAAAGAACAAAAATAAAGAACTCCATCTGCCCCTCTGCATCCATGAGTTACACATCCATGGATTCAACAACTTCAGATAGAAAACATTTGAAAACAAACAAAAAGCATCTATCCTGAACATGAACAGATCTTTTTTTCTTACTATTATTTCCTAAAGAATGCCGAATAATAACTATCTACATAACATTTACATTGCGCTAGATATGATAAGTAATCTAGAGGTGATTTAAAGAGGATGTGTGTGGTTTAGATGCAAATACTATGACAACTTACATAAGGGACTGTGGATTTTGGCATCGGAGGGAGATCCTGGGAGTGATCACCCCTGGGTATAGCAGGAAGACTGTACTTCAGATATCTCTACATCAACATTCTGTATCATGCTTAATGAACAAATTTTTAAAAGTCAGTCACCATCACCACGGGCAAGAAAGCACCATAATCACTGAACTGTCAAAAATTAAAACACTCCAAAAATAAAATTCAATTTGTTTAAAATTAAAAAGAGTCATATGAAAGCAAAACCGTTAGTCAGAGGAGGAAGTGCCTTGTCATTCTTTTTATTCATTCCATAGCTTGACTGGGAGATAAACAACCCAAAAAACACATTAAATTTTTCACTAATCGGTTTACTGATAAACTGACCCATTTATCAATTTATCAAAATTTACCAATTTTACTAATTTTTGCAAAAATTGGTTTGCAAAAAATTGACAAAAGGAAAAGGATAATGTTTTAGCAAGATGTAACAATGACAAAATTTACAAAATGGAAATTCTGCTTAATTTCACAATGTACAATGGTAAATAGTAATATACATATGTGTATATATATAAAAATAAATGAGAGTATTGTTATCACTGTAAGGGAGGAATCTGAATTTTCTAACATGTTTCTAAGAAATACCAAAAGCTAACAAAGACTATATTCATACTTACTTCATCAAAGCAATTAATTTAAAAGAGAAAGGCAGAGAGGATTGATAAATTGTACAAGTAAAATTGACCAAAGCAATATTCTCGTACAACACTGCCACAACTGTAATTAA